GTAGTGTCTCTAACTATTAAAATAAGTAATTTACTTTTAGATCTAATCAATACAAATAATCTATAATAAAATTTAGTTAATACTTATAAGTAAATTTTAGTCAAACATACATTAAATAGAATATCTAATTTAACAATAAAATATTCACATTTCATGAATGTCTTGAAAATAGTAATTAATAATTGTAGTGTCTTTAATATAATTGAGCATTGGACTTGGATTAAGATTTAAAATAGAGTTGGGCTAATGCTAATATTTGGGCCTAAATTTTAAAACTTTCCTTAGAAATTTATATGGGCTGAGGGACATTGCTGGGCTACCGCTGCCGCTGGTCACACACTGACACACAAAGCTACAACTCATAGCAATCTACACAATAAAATTTGCCCTTGTAGTAAATAATATCATTGTAACAACGACAAGGGAGACGCATATTGGTCCCAGCATTCTCTCTAGTCTTGGGTATATTAAATTTTCTATGAATAACAACTATAAACAAAATCCCAAATATAATAATGTAAGCATTTTTCTTTCCAAAGATTTGAGTAAATCAACATCTTTTCCTCTAAGAAGAAATTATAATGTCATAGCATCTTTATGTTGATAGGGGAAGGTCAGTAATGGTGGTCTACAAATCTTTTGTCTGGAGAAGGAGTGCAATAGATTAATTTGTAAATCTGTGGCAATTATCAGCAACAATCCTTAATCAATTAAATAGGGTGTACAGGACAACAACTTACAGACCTCCTACAGGGAACTGCCATGAGGGTTGGGCCTACATGTAATAAAAAAATGGCCAAAAAAAATATTGATCCCACCCATCGTGGGATATCTGTAGAATGTTTGTGAATGCTGAACTTGTACTCCCAACACGATTCATCCTTAATTTACTTTGACGCACTTCCTACCACTAGATTCTTGCAACTCGAGTTCATGTGTTTTTGAATTTAATAAGCTTCAAACGTGACAAATCGGTTCCCTTATCCTTGGTATCCATTTGTTTTAGCAAGCAGGAACTAAGGTCTTCTCCAACATTGAAGCTGCCAAATGCCGTAAAGACAATAAAATCCTCCCTGAAAGATAATCTTTTTTGCTATAACAACCAAAAGGTCAACTAGAATTTTAATACAATTGCCATGTAAACCGATAAAAAGGATGAAATAAGCTAAACCGATAAAAAGGATGAAATAAGCAAATAAGAGGGGGGGGGGGGGGGGGGGGGATACATTTTCAATTTGTCCCACAATTAAAATTTTATTTATGCTTCCATTGCATAACAAAAATGCTCAGGAATTGTACTTTTTCGCAAAAGTTTGACACCCAAGCTGAAAGTTATCTGCATTTTTGTAAATCCTTCTTATTTCTCATCTTTTCTAGTTGATTAATGATTTTCTCTTCTGATTGTTCTGCATCAAATTTGTACAATGACTAACATGCAACATATTTAAAATTTTTGAAGAATCAACCAAAATTTAAAATAATGAAAAAGTACATTCTCAAGTTACTTGATTTATCATTGACTATTAGAATATTGATCTAAAACTTTAATTAATATGTGAGTAACTTTTCTAAACAATGTACTGACTCGACATACATAAAGATATGGGTGCGCACTCGAGAAGCAAGTTATTATTTCGAGAGAATAAAGCACTTGAACAATAATGTTTGTCGGTTTGTTGAGCTAAGTTCAACGAGTTGACTATTAAATTCTTGAATATATTTTTTACGTTTTAGGTTTGGAAAGAAAACCTCTTCTATAAATGTTATTTTATTTTAGTTTATAATTCATTAATTTTATCGTTGTTTATGAACAAGACAAAAGTGTGTGAGTCAAAGATTAGTCAACTAAACTTAGTTGAAATAAGATTCATGGATAATGTAATTAATTATTATTTATTGGTTAATCTTATAAAGTAAGAACGAACTTTAACACTGGGGAGTTTTCATTAACTAATATTTTGGAAGTTGATAATTATATTAACACCACAATATTTACTTATTGCATTATATATGTTTTAATTACATTCAAGATTTTTTTTTTAATCTTTACTCATTGTAATAATTATAAACTTTTAACTTTGTTTCATCGAATTTTTACTTTCAATATTTAATTAATTAGCATTTTTCTTCCGTGGTGATAATTTCTTTCTAATTATTATGATTACATGCTTTTAAATGAGGAGAAAAATACTTTGTTGCACTTTTGCATTTATTATTTTTTAAAATGTGATGGACAAACAAACAAATATTTGAATGGAAACCATTACCATATACAACTAATTAATGGTAGGTGATGATAAGAACACGTCAAATAAAAGTTTGAGACATGAGTATTACGATGAGTAACAATTGAAGACCTTAAATGCAATTAAAATGTGTTTTAAACAATAAAAACTTTAGTATGAAATTACCCTTTGGATAAATCAATTAATTCAATGAATTATTTAACTATTTAATATTTTATCTATATACCAAAAGGTACCTGTACTTTATCATATTTTGCACAATGGTGTCTAGTGTCTATTCAAAATCTCAATAATAATATGTGAAAGAAAAATAATATTTTTCTTCAAACTTATTTATTTTGAAAAATCTATTTTCCTTTATATTTGAATGATATAAACGGTTTAGATTTGAAACTTTCAGTCCTTGGCTCTACTTATTTCACTTGGCTATTCTTCTCATGGGAAAATTGGACCTGACTTCCCCCCAAGCCTATTGAATTTACAAGCTTTTCCCTACAAAAATTGAGAATAGATGTTGCATTATCCTTACTTAGCTTCTTTGCATAGGTTATCTAGTAGATATTCGAACAAAATCAGTACATAGCGAATGGATCCCGTGTATTTGGTTATGTTTTTGCTAGAATCGTTGTGTAGAATTCAGAAATACTTCTTCATATGCAGATAAATTTCATTTGATCAAATTGAGGCATAGGCAATCAAATTGCACCACTTACAATGGGACAAATGGACACTTAATAGAGTCATCCACAAAGATTGATATGGTCCGTCTACAAGTAAAGTCTCGTTTAACGACAACCGTCAATCTATTAAATCACTACTAATCACAAGTTCAACTCAAAACACATAAGTAAGTTTGAGAATGAATGAGTAGGACGTCATATCCTAATCACATACAATAACAAGAGAGCATTAAGCCTCGAAGTTGTAAGCAACTCCTTAAAATTTTATAATTATTAATGAGATGGTATTTCTGTTACTTTAAACAGTGTCCAAAAAATTATTGGGTGTTATTTTTAACATTAAAAATCTACCATCCAAAAGGCTCAATAATTTTGAACCTAAAATTCTAAAAATTGAAAGCAAAATAATTTTCCGCTGCCGGGATTCGAACCCGGATACTGATAAACAATATTATCTGGTATTACCAAGTGCTACAGCGGAGCTGTTGATAGTCATCCTGGAAAAGATTTTTAAATAGAAATGTGCAATGGAATGGCAGTGCTGACTTTGGTTTGTTGAGACCTTAATTATGGGTATAAATTGAATAACTATAGATTAAAATGGGAACTAAATGAAACTATTCCAATAACATTAAATGGATAAAAATATATTAGGAAAATAATAAAAGTTTTAACTTGAAAGATGCTAAATTTGTCTCACATGAGGAAGTCTTAGTTCATTTAACAATCGTGATATTTTTTGTGCGATAAATAAAATTTAACCTTCTTAGCTAAAATTATTTACATTCATTCCATCATCTTTCAGCCAAAAATGAAAAGAAACAATATGTGACATTTGGCACAACTTCACAAGTCTTCGTAAAGCCTTGTTTCTATGGAACAAGATCCAATGACGACTTCGCTCATATTTTTTATGAATTGGCACATGTCTCTCATTGACTTCTACACTTAATTGAACAATACTTCCATTCTCCTAGAAATAAACATAAAAAATGAAAAATTGTTGTTTAATAGTAAAATAGCGGTTGCAACAAAATTTCAAGATGGTCCTTGAAGTTTATTTTTTTCTAACCAGATCACCGAAGTTTCCTAAGTGTTCCAATCTTGTCACATGTGAGTGATATTTACGTCAAATCTCATATATAGTTGTTAAAACAATTGTGCACTAATTGAACATTTAGCCCTCGTCTGGTCCCCATTAAAATTATAATTCATTTTTCTCTATCTTCTTATTAAATATACTTTCTCCAATAAAATAATATTATACATAATTCCAAAACTTTTCTTCTTTTTTAATTACACATTATTTAAAAAATTATTATTCTAAAATACATTTTTCCCAAATTCTCATTATAACTGTGGCGAAACAAGGGCTTAATTTCGTCACCATGTAAGCTTAAATGTTGCTAATAATGATTTACGAAGTTAGCTCACACTTGGTTCAAATCTAATTCAACGTTCGAATTAGAACGAGTTTCAGGGTATCGTCATCCTATTTATAACACATTAAGGCTTGGGCAATGAGATTAGTACGTAGTTTCGTCTAAAAAATGTAAAAACCGTTTGGCGTTACGGACTAAGTTGGAAGTGTTCGAAAAATTTATTGACTAATTCGAAGTAAAGATAGATGTGATTTTAGATGAAAGTGGATGGTGTAGAACAAATATGAAGGTGATAAAATTATTTAGCAAAGAAATTATAAGCCACTATTGTTGGATTTGTGAGAACATTGGTTTGTGACTTATTTGTAATTTTTTGAAAATTTTGGAATTATGATTGCAATTAATTTTTTTTAGTTTTTATTTTATTTAAATAGAAGGATATATCAATCATTTCGCAATTTTTTATTTTAAAAATGGTTGAAAATGAATAACCCTTTATATTTTAATTTATGTCAAAGTCAAACAATTAATATTAACCATATATTTCATGAGTCCGACAACCTTTCAATGATACATTTCAAAAACTTCTATCAAAATATCCTAAAAATTTAATTTTAATTCCAATCAAACATAACTGAAAGGCTTGACTGACAAACCTAGGACCACAAAGTTAGGGCTGCGAGGCCCAGTCCCAATCCCAGGCGGCCCGCAGCTTCATTAAGCGGCTAGATTAGGGTTTAACAAATTTCTTGAAGAAGAATCCACAGTACGTCCTACTAAACCCCGGTCTCTCTCTCGGTGCAATTATCATCGATCGATAAGCGTCAAATAATGGGCAGCAACCAAGCAGCGGTTTCATTCCTTACCAACATAGCACGCGCCGCCTTCAGCCTCGGAGTGGGCGCCACCGTCCTCAATTCATCACTCTACACCGTAGACGGTGGCCAACGCGCCGTCCTATTCGATCGATTTCGCGGTGTGATCGATGAAACTGTAGGCGAAGGTACTCACTTCCTGATTCCATGGCTCCAGAAGCCGTATATTTTCGATATTCGTACTCGTCCACATACCTTCTCTTCCATTTCCGGCACTAAGGATCTCCAGATGGTTAATCTCACCCTCCGAGTCCTCTCTCGGCCTGAGGTTAATCGCCTCCCGAACATTTTCAAAACCCTAGGTCTGGAGTATGATGAGAAGGTTCTCCCTTCGATTGGAAATGAAGTGCTTAAAGCTGTTGTTGCGCAATTTAATGCGGATCAGTTGCTCACCGAGCGTCCTCACGTGTCCGCCCTCGTTCGTGAGAGCCTGATTCGCAGGGCAAAGGATTTCAACATTTTGTTGGATGATGTGGCTATTACTCACTTGTCCTACGGTGCGGAGTTCTCCAGGGCCGTGGAGCAGAAGCAGGTCGCTCAGCAGGAGGCGGAGAGGTCCAAATTCGTGGTGGCCAAGGCAGAACAAGAGCGAAGGGCTGCAATTATTAGGGCTGAGGGAGAAAGTGAGTCTGCCAAACTGATTTCTGATGCGACTGCGGCTGCTGGAATGGGCCTGATCGAGCTAAGGAGGATTGAGGCGTCAAGGGAGAACACAGCTACCATGTCCAAGAATCCTAATGTGATGTACCTGCCCAATGGAAACAACATGCTTCTTGGTCTCAATGCTGGCCGCTGAATATCAGGTAGTGTTTACTCAAACTAGTTCATTTGCTATTGGAAATAGATTGTTATGGGGTTTCTAGTAAGATTTGTTATTCTAACTTTGTAGTTGGCTTTTGCTTGAAAAATTCCTGTCATGCTGCTAATTGTATGATTATTTTCGGTGCCTTGATATTGGGGTTCCTTTAGGCTATGTTTGGTGGCGTTGTTTGGAGGATTAAAATTAGGAGGAAGTGTTTTTATTTGATTTTTCTTCGAAGCTCATTACTCTGGTGCCACAATTTGATATATTTTACTAAACTGGTGTTCCTGATTAAATGAATTAGTTTTATCTGAATTGTAATGATAATAATGTTATAGGTAGTCAACAAAGGAGGCCGTTGAGTGAATAGATGTCTCTGAGGATGGAATTAAGTGCTTGTTTGTGCCCCATTATTTGTAAGTAATGTATTATGGAATAATGATTGATGTTGAAATGTATGGTTAAAAAAGAAGGAAACGGTTTTTATTTACGCGTAATATTATTTTAATGAAGAATGTGTGGTTGAAAATGAGTACTGTAGAAAAAATAATGTGGTAGAATGTGAAAATATGGTAGACAGACAAAGCCTAAAGTTCAAAGATATGGCTTTTGGGGTTAATATTAATAGACCTTGCTTCTTTTATTATCCTTTATCAATTCATTTAATTGAGGTTGCATTTTCTTTGTTTCAGATGAAAAAGCTAGTCACCTCACCTCTCTTTCTTACCCACCCTTATTACTTATTAGTAGTAGGCAACCTTTCTTTCTCGCCTTTCTTCCAGCTTTCTCTAGATAAAGGTATAATAGAGTTGCGCCCGGAGAAAATGAAAAGGAGAATCTCAGGTTGGAAAAGAAAATTGTTGTCCTCCGGAGGTCGACTAAGGCTTGTTAAACATGTTCCTAGTCTTCCTATGCACATGTTATAGATTTTCCTTAATTAGCCGGCCTTGACTTCGGCTACTAATAAGGAGAAAAGATGATATTGAGGGGATTTTATTTTTTTTTTTTTTGAATAGAGGTGTCAAATATCTTTATCACTAGTTTATATTTAATTTATTGATGGACTACACAAAGGTAATGAATTACTAATTACCACGTTTGATGTGCTCATCATGCTAGTTGTGCTACTCATGTGGTATCAGCTAGGTTTCCTTGATCGTTTCTAGGCACCATAATATAGAAAGTGAAATACGTGAATTATGATGCCTAGTGCAATGACAATAATTACGACAATTTTTCTTGAACTTCGGTAGTGCGTGCATATTTACATGTATATGAAATTTAACTTTATTGCAGTGGTATATAAGATAAAACATCTACTTTTCTGTGTCAATCTGCTTTATGTTGGTCAATGTGCTTTTGATGTTTGAACTTGTCATGGTTTCTATGAGGTGCATGGTGTGTGATTAGCTATTTGCTATAATTGGATAGGCTACATTTCATGTTTCTTCTTTCGCTCCTTATTTTATTCTTCACAATTTAAATTGTCTTGCTTGTTTGAGGGAGTGAACGAATGTTAGAGCTTGACCTAATGGAACTAAAGATCAAGCTGCAATCTTTCTGATTTCGTCTTCACTTGTTTACGTGCTTGATTAAAATTTTAGTTTGCTCATTATATAAACTTTATTGTACGCAACACATGTGAATTCCGTTGGAAGTATTCATCAAAGTTATTATTCTATAGATCACATATCTCAAAACTCCTAACTGGTTGGTTAGTACCGAGATTATGATTATTGTGTAGTGAAAAACTGTGTTAGGTTCTTTTCCTTATCCATTGATTTCAAATTTAACTTCGATATGTGCTCAGAGGGCATTGTGAAACCAAAATTGCACCAGAATTGCCTGCTTTGTACTTTACTGAGTAATGCTAGTGCTTCTTTTCTATGTCAATAAATTATCTGGTTATTATTTAATTGCTGTTCTTGACCAGTATTTCTCTTTTGCATATCTATTTTCAGGGCTCTAATGGGTTGCAAAAACTCGGTGTGATTTTTGGCTATTTGTTTGACTTTTTACTACCGGATATTTCTTTGTACTGGCTTGATCTTTTGTCGTAGGGAACGATTTTATAAGTTATGATCTATATTCATGAAAATTAAAGCTGTTGAGGACTTCTCTCTCATTTCAAGTTCAACTGCCAACCTAGATAGAAGAGACTGTTCTTTTCATCTTCCTCTGCCCCATTTTGTTGGGATGCATTAAGATGACTTTCTGCAATTGATGTCATGCCTTGCACTGTAATTCCAGTACTACGCGAAAAACAGTAACAAATTTAAATGTTTATGAAACCATGTTGCAAAACAAACTTTTTCTTCTTGTTGAAGTTCTCCATAATTTGTTGCTGTTCTTGTTTCCTTGAAGCTTCAGTGAGTTTTTAATAGACAGTAAAATGAACATTTTCGTTGACATCTGAAAAAGGAGAGGGTGTTTGCGCTCTAGAATTTGCTAAACGGATTCTATTTCCCTGTTTTTGTGGGAGATGAGCCAACTCTAGTCAGGGAAGGGGATGCCTAAACTGCCCTCAGTACCACCACACTTCTTGAAACTCGGTAATTCAACGAATTTGTATGAAAATTCAAAGTCCAGGTTGAATGTTGTTTAGTTTAAAGATTTGTTCTTGTTAGTTGTAGCAAAAGGTATAAGGTTAGATCTGCAAATGACGACCAAATTTTACACTTCGATAACATGGATAAATATGTATGTGCAGAAAATGGGTTATCGAATTGGTGTTCTACTCTCACATGCGCGCGAGCCTTGCATGTATTAAAAAATTCTGGTTTGTGGGATTTGTCCTCCTATTGTAAGTGTAGATAAAAGATTTAGTAAAAATGTGTAGGTAAATATAGCATTGTCCAAATA